AACAGGATGGAGGCAACCTATGGGCCCATAAACATAGGAATGGATGACCAAGCTGAGGTGCATACACACGATGGAGTGCTATGCAGCACTGAGGAGTAATGTGGAGCCCGCAAAACACTGCATAATATGGATGAACTTGGGGGACATTATGCTGACTAAAATAAGTCATTAACAGAAGGATAAAAATAGTATTAGTTCTTTGTTGCGGAGGGTCAAGGAAAGGTTTATATATGGAGGGAAACTTTCTTTGTTGGTTGTCGGGTAGGAGGGGAGTGAAGGGAACACCGCAAAAAAAATGCATTGACCCATCTCACTTTAGTTTTGTGTATTTCACTGTACATAAACTATATTTCAATAAAATGCATTAAAAAAAAAAAGATGTGGCAGTCAGTGTCCATAAAGATTTATAGCCTCAAAACCTTATGGACATACAATGACACACAGACCAGTGGAATAGAATTGAGAACCCAGAAATAGATCCATCGACCTATGGCCAGCTGATCTTTGACAAACGCCAAAATCATTAAATTGGGAAGACAATGTTTGTTTAATAAATGATGCTGGCAAAACTGGATATCCATTTGCAGAACAATGAAACAAGATCTGTACCTCACACCATACACAAAAACTAACTCCAGATGGATCAAAGACTTAAATGTAAAACCTAAAAGTATAGAGTTCCTCAAGGAAAAACTAGGGGCCAATATAGGGGCCCTAATATATGGCATAAATAGACTATCAAGCACAACCCAAAACATATAAACAGCAGAAGAGAAACTAGATGAATGGGACCTTCTAAAAATTAAATTTTTATGTGCTTCCAAGGACTTCTCCAAAAGAGTCAAAAGAAAACCTACAGATTGGGAAAGTATTTGGCAATGACATATCTGACAAGGGACTTATCTCTAGAATTTATAGAACACTCCAACACCTCAACAATAAAAAGACAAATAATACAATTCAAAAATGGGCAGAAGACATGAATAGACACTTCACCAAGGAGGATATTCAGGCAGCCAACAAACATATGAAGAAATGCTCATGATCATTAGCCATTAGAGAGATGCAAATCAAAACAACAATGAGAT